ATATGATAAATGGTCCATGGTCCATAGGATGATACGATGTGCTGCCAAATCGGTAATGCGACGATATGATGCTGGGGAGGGGATCGACCGCCTTCTCCCCATTGAAATCGCACTGTATTTGCTGTTTTTTTTTCAAAAAACTAGGATAAATGGTCCATGGTCCATAGGATGAGAGGATGTACTGCCACGTCGGTAATGCCACGATATGATGCGGGGGAGGGGATCGATCACCCTCTCCCCATTGAAATAGCACCGTATTTGCTGCCTTTTTTTTTTCGAAAAATAGGATAAATAGTTCATGGTCCATAGGATGATAGGATGTGCTGCCACGTCGATAATGCCACGATATGATGCTGAGAAGGGGATCGATCGCCCTCTCCCCATTGAAATCGCACTGTATTTGCTGGTTTTTTTTTTTTCGAAAAATCAGATAAATGGTCTATAGTTCGTAAGATGATAGGATGTGCTGCCAAATCGGTAATGCTACGATATGATGCTGGGTAGGGGATCGATCGCCCTCTCCCAATTGAAATCACACTATATTTGCTGTTTCTTTTTTTTCAAAAAATATGATAAATGGTTCATGGTCCATAGGATGATAGGATGTGCTGCCAAATCAGAAATGTCACGATATGATGCTGGGAAGGGGATCGATCGCCCTCTCCCCATTGAAATCGCACTGTATTTGCTGCTTTTTTTTTTTTTAAAAAGAAAAAAAGTGGTCTATGGTCCATAGGATGACAGGCTGTGCCGCCACATCAGTAATGCCCCGATATGATGCTGGGGACGGGATGGATCGCCCTCTCCCCATTAAAATCGCACTGTATTTGCTGCCTTTTTTTTTCCTCGAAAAATGGGATAAATAGTCCACAGTTCGTAAGATGATAGGATGTGCTGCCAAATCGATAATGTCACAATATCATGATGGGGAGGGGATCGATCGCCCTCTCCCCATTGACATCGCACTGTATTTACTGCTTTTTTTTTCCCCCAAAAAATAGGATAAATAGTTCATGGTCCATAGGATAATAGGATGTGCTGCCACGTCGGTAATGCCACGATATGGTGCTGGGGAGGAGATCGATCGCCCTCTCCATATTGAAATCTCACTGTATTTGCTGCCTTTTTTTTTCAAAAAATAAGATAAATGGTTCATGGTCCATAGGATGATACGATGTGGTGCTACGTCGATAATGCCACAATATGATGCTGGGGAGGGGATCGATCGTCCTCTCCCCATGGAAATCGCACTCTATTTGCTGTTGTTTTTTTTTTTCCAAAAATCGGATAAATGGTCTATAGTTCGTAAGATGATAGAGTGTGCTGCCATTTCGGTAATGTGACGATATGATGCTGGGGAGGGGATCGATCACCCTCTCCCCATTGAAATCGCACTATATTTGTTGTTTTTTATTTTTTTGAAAAATCGGATAAATGTTTCATAGTCTATAGCACGATAGGATGTGCTGCCAAATCGGTAATGCAACGATATGATGATGGGGAGGGGATCGATCGCCCTCTCCCCATTGAAATCGCAATGTATTTGCTCCTTTTTTTTTTCAAAAAATAGGATAAATGGTTCATGGTCCATAAGATGATAGGATGTGCTGCCACGTCGATAATGCCACGATATAATGCTGGGGAGGGGATCGATCGCCCTCTCCCTATTGAAATCGCAGTTTACTTGCTGCTTTTTTTTTTTCGAAAAATCGGATAAATGCTCAATAGTTAGTAAGATGAAAGGATGTGTTGCCAAATCGGTAATGCTACGATATGATGCTAGGGAGGGGATCCATTGCCCTCTCCCCATTGAAATCGTACTGTATTTGCTGTTTTTTTTTTTCGAAAAATAGGATTACTGGTCCATGGTCCATAGGATGATAGGATGTGCTGTCAAATCGGTAATGCGACGATATGATGCTGGGGAGGGGATCGATCGTCCTCTCCCCATTAAAATCGCACTGTATTTGCTGCTTTTTTTTTCCTAAAAAATAGGATAAGTGGTCCATGGTCCACAGGATGATAGGATGTGTTGCCACGTCGGTGATACGACGATATGATTCTGGGGAGGGGATCGATCGCCCTCTCCCCATTGAAATCGCACTGTATTTGCTGCCTTTGTTTTTTAGGAAAATAGGATAAATGGTTCATAGTCCATAG